AGTGAACCTAAGCGTGCCTGTTTGTTCCTTCGAGAGCCCTATATCCCTCTCTCATCCATTTTAAGACACCACCACTAGGCAAGGCAGAAGGGAACTTTCCAGAAATGTCAGGCGCTCACCTCAGAGCAGCTGCGACCCTCGTAAAAGTGGCAGCGGCCTTTCATGCAGACACAGGACTTCCCATTCAGCTCTCCAAACACCAGGTGACCAGCATGACCATGCACTGCGGAGAGGGCACATCGGCAAAGTCATGTTCGAAACACAACAGTGCGGGGGGGCAGTGTGATTCAACAACATCTACTTCACAAATACAGTATTTGTCATGAAGCCAGGAAGGCAGTTGCTGTATTTATACTGTTAAATCTTAGTTTGTCAAAGCCTTTGAATGCAACTTTGCACAAATTGAGTATTACATATAGTAACACTGCATACTGTAATACACTGATTACAAATTTGGATGAATATATACGTTCATATCTGTTTCTGTGATTCACAGATTCAAAGGCATTTTTAAGATTGTTAATTGGAGACTTCATTAGGTGCCACTCTCCCCGTGTCACGTATACGTCAAACACCAGGTAATGAGCTAGGGCAGTTGGGTAAGGTGACCCTCGGGAGGATCTCTGGAATGGAACCTGCACCACCTATTGTCCAAATCCCATTAGGCTTGATTAATGACATGTACTGTAGGACATCGGTGGGAAAAAAAATGACACCTGTTTTAGTGTGAACCAGGTATGGCAATCTCCTATTCTCACTCCTATGGTAGCGCAGTCACCAGGATCCACAATATCATTTGGCACTTTCACACTAAAGTTCCAGAACCTGGTCCCAGTTTACAAGTTCCTGGGCTGTCTCGACGGGGAACTTTTGTAGCTCCAGGCCACTTTTGTGTGACGCTTTCAAACCATACAACAGGAACTGGGACTTTTATGCTAAATAAGCATGGGAGACACAAAACATTTATAGGCTGAACTTCACACAAAACTTCACATGAAACTACACCATCACCCCAAAACAACGCAGGATAAATAAGTTGTTTTGTTAGTTATTGGGGGGATTGATCAGGATAAAAACAGGACACAGCCTTTTGTTTTTATGACTCACAACATGTTAATGATTCTTATTAAATCTGACCAGTTTATCAAACTTATATTTTCCACAGAATAAAGAACGATGAAACATTATCCTGCTAATAAATGTTTTGGACGTTTCATCGCTGCCACCAACGATATTAGACACAACTATATGGGTTATCGATATAATTTTTCAATGCAGAAATATTCAGATGCAAACAAAAAAATGAATTAATTGATGCATCAAGTGTAACACAGGTACAAAAATAATTCTATCTGCTCAGGTTTTGCTCCATTAGTTCTATCTCTTTTGCCTGCAAGTCTGTGTAACTTCCAAGTTATTGCCAGTGCTTGTTGTCAACCAATCAGAAAGCTACCACTGTAAGTGCCTCCAGAGTAGCTTGTGTTGAAACAAAAAGTACCTCGTCTGGAGTAGGTACTCCTATGAGCTATATTCAGGCTTAGTTCCTGTGGTGTGAACACGGCTAAAGTCCCTGGTTCTGGCAATGTGAAAGCACCTACTGTAAATGGACCTGTTGCCATAGTAAAATTGGTTACAGAAGTTTGGTGGTTTACAGATGGCACTGCATGAGGTGAGGAATTTTATTTATTTTATTCCGTATTGCATGTTACTTCATCAATCTTGACTACAGTTAATAGTTTTTTGGCCATTAACTGGATATACTGATTGTACCGAAACTACTCAAGTCAAAATTTTAGGCTGCAAAACCAATTATTACTGGCTCAACGTTACCAGAAGTCCTAGAAAGTAGCCCTGATCTTTTTTCTGTTTTGTTGATGATTTTTTATTGGGTCATGGGGCCGACAGTGTTGTGGTTGGGTCATTGTGATGTCATACAGATGTTGCCTGGGTTTTCACAGAGACCCCACTCACCTGTGCTCTCACGGAAGTGTGGGATGTCTTTGTAACGCAATACAGTCTGGTTCTGCAGCAGATCTGCTAAACCTCCAAGACCAGAGCCACAGATGATGGCTATTTTGGGTTTCTGCTTCTCCTTTATCTTAGCCAATAGCCAGTCTGCTGTTTCTTTGTAGTTCTCATATGTGTAGCTGAGGGACAGACACACAAGTGGAATAATTTGCTTCTGCATACTGACAAAGAAGAGCAGTGTGATGGTCCCTAGTACTGTCATCAACAGTCAAGTCTTCAAGTCTTTATATATATGTATAAGTGGAACATATATATTATGGACAAAAGTATTGGGACACCTGGCCATTACATCTACAAGAACTATTATGACATCCCATTATAAGTCCTTTGGCATCAATATGGAGTTGGTCCCATCTTTGCAGCTGCCACTCTTCTAGGAAGGCTTTGCATCAGACTTTGGTGTGTGTCTCTGGGAATTTTTGCCCGTTTATCTCTAAGAGCATTTGTGAGTGTAGAAGTAAAATTGGACATTAGTAGGCCCGGGAGGGGAGGCATATTGGCTGTGTTATGTCTTAGGCCTTAGGCAAGAAGAGATTGTTTTGAATACTGTGTGACCTCGCTTTGTGATAGCTGCCTGCAGTTGGCTCCGCAGAAGCTCGGACCTTGGAGAGGCAGGCAGCGGAGCAAAGGGGGGGAGAAACCACTTGCAGGAAGAGACTCGAAGCTGCCCCAACTGGTGCACAAAGAATTATGGCTTAATAAAGTAGTTGCAGTAGACAATATATAATATGTTACGCAATTGATCGCATAAGTAATCATGTTAATCATACTAATGTTAATCATATGTTAACCATGTATTTGCAGTGATTCAGGGACAATACATCAATGTGTTAATCATTAATCAATGGAACACCCAAACATTAACAGTGATTCAATGTCATATAATTAATATCTATATACATATCTCAAGTAGAGTCTAGAAGCCGAGGCTGACTCTGGTAAATTGCATAAAATGGGTGAAGTTTACCTTGCTACCAAGGTGAACCAATGGAGTAGGAGAATTGAGTTTGTTATACAGTTCAGCTTAGTTTGTTGATGTTTTGTGACCAATCAGGACTTAAAAGTCCTGGGAGTTATGGTTTATCTATTGGTTGCTCTGTGTGCTGAGGGTGACTTGGTACCGAGTGCCAGAGTGTGATGGGAGCGCTTTGCTGAAATCGCTGGAATAAAAGAGATTTTCTTTACTAACCAAACTGAGAGGTCCAGACTTTTATTCTAAGTGCCTCTCTGTGTTATCAGAGAGGTTGATTTATAATTTTTCTACCACATGAGGTAAGGCACTGATGTTGAACGTGAAGGCCTGGCTCACAATCTCTGTTCTAGTTCATCCCAAATAGTGTTTGATGGGGTTGAGGTCAGGGCTGTGCGTGAGCCAATCAAGTTCTTCCACACCAAGCTCACCCAACCATGTGTTTATGGACCTTTCTTTGTGCTCTGGGGCACAGTCATGCTGGAACATAAAAAGGCCCTTCTCCAAACGGGTCCCACAAAGCTGGAAGCATTGAATTGAGGACCTGGATTTTCCACTAGGCAAATTTAAAATGTAAATATCTACAACATGAGTTTTTACTAGTACAAATTGAATTTTCTCGCATAGAAGCAAAAATTCCATGGTAATACATGACTAGTAAAAATCAAGTTATAGTTAACTATAATGTGAATTTTTACTAGTAAAAATAAGGTTCTAATGAGTGAAAATGATTATTCTTTATACTGCAGATATCCTGGATGATCTCTGTGCTCCGCGATCCTGCAAATGTGTCCCGACCCCTCCCTCCGCGATCCTGCGAATGTGTCCCGACCCCTCCCTCCGCGATCCTGCGAATGTGTCCCGACCCCTCCCTCCGCGATCCTGCGAATGTGTCCCTACCCCTCCCTCAGTATGTCTTTAGTCTCCCCAGCCTCCGCACCTCTGTTGGCCTTACCCTGCACCCCTCGGACAGATCTTTCGGTTCTCGGAATCTGTTTCTGGTTTACGATTATGACATCAGTTTAGTGTCTTTGGATACTGTTAGTTCTGCACCTGGATCTGCGGATCCCAAGAGGTGTTAGAGTTGGCTAGAGATACAGTCACATATGTGCACAAATTCTACTTGTGGCATTTTCTTTAGTGTGTTATGTTTACAACAAAAACCTTCCAGCTGGATATGGCTGCCTGTCTGTGTTCTGTGTTTGAACACAATTATATATAATATTGTCAGGGTCAGCACCCGTCCAACCCTGTCCTTTGTGTCTCCCCCCTGCCGCTGCCCTCCAGGCCCAGGGTCCCCATTGTGTTTCGCTGTTCCTGGGCTGCTGCATAACTCAATTGGTTGAGCATGTGGCTCAGATTGTCATCTCTTCCAGTCATGAGTTTGAGGCTGACCAGAGGCCAGTTTCACATTTTGGTTAATTAATATTGGTTTTATTTTCCTTAGCGTTTGGTATTTTCTTTGTCTTTGCTTTGTGTTCCTGATTCTGGCCTTCCCTGTTTGTGTCTGTTTGTTCCCTGTGTAACTGTCGCTAAGATGGTTATTTTATAATTACTTTTTTTTGTTGGTTTGATTTAATATACAGTAGAAGGTATACTGTGATAAATGTATATTGGTGCCCTCTGCTGACTGTTTAATTGATCTGTGTTAACCCTTGATCATGTGACTGAATTGGGCAGGAGTGAATGCACTCTGGGAGATTCATGGAGTCGGCTTGTGGGGAAGCTCGTCACTGCAGAACCGGTAATAACTCCTAAACATTTGGTGAGAAGGTGCACACGGTAATTTCTATTTATTGTATTTACTTGTTGTCTTGTGTTGGAAAGTTTGTTTGTAATTGTGGTGATATGTGAGCTGCTATTTAACGGTAATATTGTGGATCCTTTATGATTGTAAGATTAAATGTAATATAGGAATTTAGTAATATGTTTATTTTATAGTTTTTCACGGTGTTGAGAAGAATAAAGACGGAATAACTTCAACATCAGTCGGGCGTATGTTTTCTGCACCAAATGAAGAACCTTGGGAGCCCTAGTTTTGTCCTAGTACAGTCAGCCCTCTGTTATGTTCCCTAGTTTCTTGTGCCATATATTGGTAATTTATTTCACCTGCTGCTTGTTGTCCTCTGCCTTGCTGATTGGTTGGTGTTTTTGATGATTCACACCTGCCCTTAGTTAGTCCTTGTTACCAGTGTATTTAAGTGCCTGCCTTTGTTCATTTACCCAGTCAGTCAGTGTGATAAGTAGCTGCCTGTTGCTGCTCTGTTTAGTTTCTTGGTCTGTTTTATGTGTTACCTGGTTTCCAATCTTTGCTCAGTTAATTCCTTATTTTCTGTGCTTGTTTTTGACCTATCATAGTCTGTTTGTTTTGATATATTTTCTTTTTAGTTGTATTAAATAAACCCTTGTCTCAGACCCATAAGTGGATCATCCCTGCCTTATTTATGCCTGCACCATGCCCCCCCACCCAAGACACAAAGATCCATGCTTTTACAAAGAAGGTCAAGTTAGCCCACCCTCCCCAATATTTCACTATGATTTAACCTAAACCACTTCACTAATACGCTACAATAATTACACTATACTGGTGTGCATGCAGGGGCGGATTAAGGTGTACAGAGGCCCCTAGGCTACAGTAGTCTGTGGGGCCCCCAACCCCGCCCCCCTCCACGCCAATGGGGGCCCCCTTGCAGGCTGGCACACGTGGGGCCCCTAGGCTTAAGCCATATCTAGCCTGTGCGTTAATCCGCCCCTGTGTGCATGTTTACATTTTTATTATTTTTAAAAATCTTTTTCGTAATGAATCTGTAAAAATCACATGAATAGTTATTATGACTATCTTTAAATCATGAGTACGAAGAGTGCAGCGTCCTGTCCCTCCCGGACACCTGGAACTGTCCAGGGTGCCCTGGGCCGCCGCGACAGGCGCGTTTTCCATTCAGCGCTAAGAGCGCAGGACACCCCTGCGCTGCGTCAGCCGGCTATATAACGCTGCAGTCTTTCATTAATCACACAACCTGACACATTTTCCCCCACATGACTAAGAGCTTCTCGTGTGGCACATTTAAATGGATTTGGCATGGGCTTTCGTGGAAGCATTTTGCTGCATTTAAATATGCATTCACAACAAGGATGCATCACAATGCTAGTGAGTATATGAAACCATACAGAATATCATATAAGTCTGCATTTAAATTATTCAATTATTCAATAACCTTGTTAGAGGGTGACCGGTCGCAAGTGATATTGCAGGCGGGCGTTATTGAATAAAGCCATATACATATATATACACACACACACACCGACATATTTTCTTTCAGAATGTCAGTACTTTTCGATGTCTGCTTCCTTGACAATTATCACAATATTCTGACATTATTGTCGTATTATTGTTCTAGACGAAAAAAAAAGTGCTAAACAGATGCAAATCGGGGTGTGAGGATATATAGTTACTGTAATAAAATATGGTCGATTATAAAGGTGCGTTTAATCCCGTCACGGTTATTTTACCTGCTCTCCACAGGCGACGACATATCGATAGCTGAAGACACCGAGTTAAGTGCAGTAATGTAGGCAAATGCCAGATGAGTGTGGAGACAGGAGACCGCGACTGCTCCAGATAAACGGGGCCACCCCACCTTCGAGGTGGCGTGATGCGGAGCGATTGGCTGCGGACTCGGTTAGACTTTGAGAGGCTTTTATAAAACCAATCCGCTTATTTTGCCGATGGACTTGCGGATTGTCCCAAACGGGAACCTTCCTGCTTGTAACTAGAAGAACAGTGCTAGAATTAAATAAATCTAAATTTGGACTCCCTACCCTCTCTAAATGTTTTCAAAAATCTTTTAAAATCAGTTCTTATACAACAATGCCATTGTTTTTCATAAATGCAGCGTGTGGCTCAGTGGGCTAAGCCTGTGTGCCTGTAATCACAAGGTTGCAGGTTCAAACCCAGCCTCAGCAGGTGGCTGCTCTTCGCGGACAAGTTGTGGGAGACGTAAAAACAATTCCCCCACGGGGATCAATAAAGTATCTATTATTATTATTATAATTTATAGCCCATATACTTATATATATAAATATATATATATATATTTTTTTTTCTTTCTAATTTTTTTTTCTTTCTTTCTTTACTCCTAGCCTATAACTCTCTGCCTTTTTTGACAATTGGAATTTCCATTTATTTTAGTTTGATAGTCTGTGCTTATTGTATTGTATTCATTGGTATGTTTGTATGACTTTAGGTGTAAATATTACAAGTGTGTAAGTTGTTTGTTTATGTTGGAACTCTTGTAACTTATTGCTGCCACCTTGGTCAGGACTCCCTGGAAGAAGAGATAATGTATCTCAATGGGACATTCCTGGTAAAATAAAGGATAAATAAAAATAAATAAAAAAGTAGGTTTTATTCATCTACAGGTGCCCTTTGAAAAAAAAAAGACCCAACAAGGGTTGCCACCCGACTCTTAAAGCATGGTAGGATCCCGGACTGCGGCATACTGCCAGCTCCATGAATAACACGATTTCTTAAACTTGGACCTGCATAGTTAACAAACCAAGGTTAAATGCATCCATGCATCCTTGCAGGGAGCCTATGCCAGGCAGCATACAACACAATGCGCGGGTACACCTTGGACCAAGGTTAAATGCATCCATGCATCCTTGCAGGGAGCCTATGCCAGGCATGCAGCATATAACACAATGCGCGGGTACACCTTGGACCAAGGTTAAATGCATCCATGCATCCTTGCAGGGAGCCTATGCCAGGCAGCATACAACACAATGCGCGGGTACACCTTGGACCAAGGTTAAATGCATCCATGCATCCTTGCAGGGAGCCTATGCCAGGCATGC